TATATTTGCTCCGGTTAAGGAGGGAATTTCTAATGGATTGCTTGAGTTCCTCGTAAAGAGAGGGAATTTGTATCGCGTGTTTTATATTTGTTTATTTCATTTATTTACTCTGCCTTATACTTACTTACTTTTTTACTGTACATGATTTATTGGACCACTAGTAAGTGTCGATGTTGACCCCTCGTCACTACTTCTCCGGGGTTTGGCTAGATACTTACTGGGTACACGTTGATTTCTTACTCATACTACACTTGCTGCACATTTTTGTGCAAGTACATATGTGACTAGTGGTCTTATGAGAGCAGAAGCGTGTATGCATGCGAGGACTTACGTGAGCTGCATTCCATATTACAACCCGCAGCCGGCAGAAACTCCTTCAGAGTATTTGTATTCTCTTGTCCAAATTTATATTCCGGACAGATGTTGTATTTTATTTTACATTCCTAGTTAATGCTCATGCACTTGTGACACCGGGTTTTGGGATGATTATGGGTTGTTCTGTATTGAATTTGTTAAAAGTATTATTATTATTTACTCTGTAAATCCCTATTCTTTACTATTTAAATTGGAGGAAAATATGATTTCAAAAGTAACAAAATGAGAACCCAATTAAGTATTTATTGTTGGCTTGCTCGACAGTGGTATCCGGCGCCATCACGACCTTTATGGATTTTGAGTCGTGATACACCTCGTACCTCTTACAGAAGGCGGTAATGACCGGGTCCAAGGGGCCCAACGTGAAGGGATAAGTGTAAACACTTAGAAAATCCTCCACGTGGGTAGTGATAGTTTCCTCGGGCTTGGGGACCACTACGTGCTTATTAGCCCAGTTGCAATCTTTCTTGACTTCGGAGAGGACATCCTTGGTGATCGAGCAGATATATCTCGAGGCCGGTTCACACCGACCCGGTACCGAAAAGGTTTTCTCGTTCTTGAAATCAACACCGGTCACCCCGCGGAGATGAATAATTTCAGAGGAGGCTTTGGTGCCGGTTCCTCAGCAGCAGCAGTATGAGAAACAATTTCCTCAACAGCCGGCCTCGAGGCAGAGGGAGTTTCTTTTTGAGGAACGGATTTTGAAATCTTCGCAATTCCTTTAAATGAAACAGATATAAAGAGAAGAAGGTTTGAATGAATGGATGATTAGCAGATGAAGAACTCTTATGAAAGATCTCAGAAAACAGAATAACTTGGAAGTGTTGAAATCTCTTAGACACGAGAGCAGAAGGTTTGAATGTAAAGTTTGAATAAACAAAGAGAGGAGGTATTTATAGTTTTTCAAGCGACGGTTCACATCTGGGAGTGGCCGACAAGCAACTGACAAGCATTTAATGCCTTGAAAACTGGACCAACGGGACGTTTCAACTATTCTTATCGCTTACGTCATGATTTTGTCGCTTACGTCATGATTTATCGAAGAGGGAATAAGGAGCTCACATCGTTTCTCGTCGTCATTTACTCTCCGAAAAACGAGGGAATTTTACGTCATGATTTTTGTTGCTTACGTCATGATTTGTGGAAGTGAGAATCGGGAGCTCATATCATTTCTCGTCATTTACTCTCCGAAAAACGAGGAGACTATCTGTATACGGGTAAAATCAAATTCGGAATTTGACCGAGCATCCAGCACGATAGTTTGGGATCGACAGATGGTGATAAAATCCCGGAGATCGGTTCCTGCCTTACCGAATTAGCTATCGGAACCACTAGACTTGCCTTCAAGTTTACCGAGGTCATAACCGGTCCCGGTTATAACGGTCTCAAGGAACATATTGCCAGCTTATCCGACAAGGGTCCGAGATTCCCACAACTAGCCGGACATTACTGCGAAAATCACGAAACATACCTAAAAAGGGACCAACGGTCAACAAATCAAGGACCTTTTTACCTTTTATAGAATAATAGACTAATACCTTAAAAGTAGGTTCCTCTAATATATAAAGGGGGCCTCACAACTCATGAAGGACATTGTAACATACACTTATAAGCAATACATTAACGTTATTCTCTAAGTTCTTATTCTTTTGTATTTTGGTGTCAATAAAAGTACTTTCAGCTCAAGGGTGGCCAGCTTTCCTAGGCTGAAATTATCCAATTCGCGTGGTTTGCAGTTAGTTTATCGTTATTTATTTCAATTGCTATCTAATTTATCGTTTAATATCAAATTAATCCGCATATCCTTTAACCCACTAACAAATTCAATTATTATCCGATTTTGAGGGTAAATAACTTGTCTTTCATGTACTTCCCCGCAAAATGGGTATTCAAATGAATCAGATTGAAAATTTTAGGAGCTCATTTGGTTGGAATTCTTATTTTATTGGTGATGATTCATTGATAAACAATGTCTCAAATTTTGTTTCACGAAAATGGCTTTTTTGTTTAAAATACCCACCGAGGGGTTTTATATTTATTTACAAATATGAAAGAGTACAATTTTGAATATTGCAAAGTGTAGATTGTTTGTTTTTCAGAGACATAAATGTTCTTAACATGTAATTTGGAATATTCCCTTATGACTAATGCGCTTGTCCTAATTTTTACTTCGTGGCCTGCAAAGGGAGAATATTTGCTGCTTTACTTTTTCCATTCTCGGCAGTAATAGTCCTTCAACTTTTCTTCCCTTTTTCGAGAACAAGGTTGGCCACAAACTTATTTATTAAACTCAAACTTGATTATCAATCAAAACTCATTGATAGCCTGAGCATGTCGGCCAAACGCTTTTAATAATAAGTTACTAAATATTAAAGCAAACGGCCGTTACCTTCAAAGTATTTTCTAAAATCACATATATTCACGTGCACCCTTTATGTATTGAATGGAAAAAACAAACTTACGCAATCAAGACACTTTCTTGTTATATAAATATTTATCTTCTAACTATGATTAAGTTTTTCTATAACTGATAATGAAAAATTATTTATACTATCAAATCACATAAAAAATAATAATTATAGGCGAACCGCATATACATAGACAGTCCATTCAACTTGACACCATTTTTCATTTTGGCACTCTATCTCAACCTTGTTCCATTTTGGTCCTCCAACCCTATTTCTTATATTTCACTTTAATACAAAAGCTGACTAGTCACATAGTGTGAGTTGCCTCACCTCGTAAGCGCGTGGGGCAACTTTTTTTTTTTTTTTTTTTTTTTTTTGTGCAAAATTCCTTCTAATTACTATTGGCCCATATTTAATCCCTCAACTTCCTTCCCCATTATTTCATCTTCATTATTTCCTTCCCATTTACTGTTGTCCCATCGTCATTCTCAAAGTTCCAAAGCTTTCATCAGTCGATTTCATACCTTGCCATCCAGAAAGCTTCAAACTTTTACAATTTTGTTGTTCGTTTATTTATTCTGATTAATTTTTTTGTGGGTTTATTTCATAGGACTGCTACGTAGTAAATTGCAGAAGAATGAACTTTTTAAGCTTCTGATTGACAGGCCTCAAACAATAACAAACACAAAAGCTTCAGATTGTTAAAAAGGTCTCAAACACTAGATGCCAAAGTTTCATTCTTTACACAAAACCAACTCTTGCAAGAATTGAATAAAGTTCAAATAAAGCACAAATCAGCTGTCAAACAACATAATACTTCAGCTATCAGATGCCAAAGTTTCATTCTTTACACAAAAACCAACTTTTTCAAAATACACAACTTAAGTTTGCAACTTTCAGAAGTAACAAAACTGCCAAAAGCCAACAACAATCAAAACTACTATATTGCGATTATGAATTTGGGAAGGAGCTTAAGGTACCATTAGTCGGGTAGGGATTTGTGACAGAGAGAAAATAATAAGCGGCTTTAATTTTACCCAAATATGATCGGGTTCGGGTATTTTAGTATTGACCCGTTTGACATGAATGAAAAAAATAAGTGGCAACATTTAATACACCTCAGATTTGTGTATAAACACACGCTATATTGTTTGCACTGGTTTCATCTTTTGTGTTAAGGTAAAACATAAGAAATAGGGTTGGAGGGCCAAAATGGAATAAAGTTGAGATAGAGTGCCAAAATGAAAAATGGTGCCAAGTTGAATGTGCTATTTGGCATATAGCTACTTAAAAATTAAGATAAGTGACATATCATAACATGTTACCATACATAGATAATATAAAATTATTTACATTACATATAAAGTTAAATCCCGAGTTTAACTCTTTTACGGTGCATAATGCATCTATGATAAATCCATATTAACCACCTTTAAGATATGCTAGGTAAGTTAATATGCGTTGGTAAATATTGCTCAGTTTTGGGCTTCACGCTTTCCTTGTTTACCATCTTCTTTTAACCGCCATCCTGTCAACAGTTCGGAGTCGTAAAATCTCAGCAAAGCTAACAACTACTTGCAGTAGTTATTCACACGTATTTCATCACAACGTGCCACGCGCCCATGCTCCTCCCCCATACCAATCTTCTACATACTCTCACTTTCCTAAATCCTACACTTCGTATATCCTTTCCTCTCTCTTTCCATTTCTATATTTAGTATGTCTCTCTAAAGTACAGTAATCACTGGTGCATAAACAAACAAAAAATGGCGGAAAATTCATCTACAGAAGGATTCATGTGTTTACATGGAGATTTGGAGCTTCACATCGTTCAAGCGCGTCATTTACCTAACATGGACTTAACTTCCGACCGTCTTCGCCGTTGTTTCACCGCCTGTGATGTCTGCCGGAAACCTCCGACTGAGTCCACCGCCGACGACGACGGAGAAAGTGGCGTTCCCAATGTGAAAAAAAACCCCGACCAAAAAATCCATCACCGGAGAATAATCACTAGCGACCCTTACGTCACTGTGTCGGCACCTCACACTGCTCTCGCCCGTACACGTGTCGTAACCAACTCCCAAAACCCTGTTTTTGATGAACATTTTCATATCCCCTTAGCACACCCTATCGACTGCTTAGAATTTCGCGTTAAAGACGATGACGTTTTCGGTGCTCAAGTTATAGGTAAGGTTAGAATTCCGGCCGAAAAAATCGCCGCCGGTGAGATTATTGCCGGCTGGTTTCCCGTTATTGGCGCTTCAGGGAAACCTCCAAAACCTAACACGGCTCTTCGGCTATGGATGAAATTCGTTCCATATGATACAAACCCATTGTACAAGCAAGGTATTGCTTCAGATCCTCAACATTTAGGTGTGAGGAATACGTATTTTCCGTTGAGGAAAGGGAGCTCAGTGAAGCTGTACCAAGATGCTCATATGAGCAACAGTTTTAAGCTACCGGAAGTTGAGTTGGAAAATAATGGAGTTTATCAACACAATAGATGTTGGGAAGATATATGCTATGCAATTTCAGAGGCTCATCACTTGATTTACATAGTTGGGTGGTCTGTTTTTCACAAGATTAAGTTGATTCGAGAGCCCACTAGGCCATTGCCGCGTGGCGGTGACTTGACACTTGGTGAATTGCTTAAATATAAGTCCCAAGAAGGGGTGCGCGTTCTGTTATTAGTTTGGGATGATAAAACTTCCCATGATAAGTTCTTAATTAACACGGTATGCATCTTTTGAACTGTTACTTTTAGGATATTTTCTTGGCTGCTGTTTTAAGTATTTGTTTTGATAGTGGTAAGATAAGAATATTGTCTTAGTCTTGCTTGTTGCTACTATTATTTTAATGGTGTGCTCAGTGTATATTATAATGATGAATTGTCATTTCTTCCAAGCTTTCGAATGAGTGCAACATTAGTTGTAGTTCTTGTTTGTCAATCTCACAATAGTTTGAGATGGGGCTTGATGCAGGCGGGAGTAATGGGAACTCACGATGAGGAGACCAAGAAGTTCTTTAAGCATTCCTCTGTGATCTGTGTTTTGTCGCCACGTTACGCTAGCAGTAAGCTTAGCATTATCAAGCAACAGGTTAACTTTCATAACCACTTGCTCATTTGTTAGATTTAATGTACCCTGACATCGTTTGATTGCTGACTTCTCAAGTACCTGTGAAGTTATTGCCTCTTAAACCATTTCATTTCAATAGTTTGCATTCAGAATCAGGCATTCGATATGACGGAGAGTGTTCTTTTTGATGAATTGATAGAAAATATTCTTGTAAGTTTGTGGAAGAAGATAGGGATCAAGGAAGAGCTGAAATGGTTCAGCAGAACAGCATAATAGATGAATGTTTGCCTTGTGTTGCTTGACACAATATTGTCCTGAATGAGTGGACTAAAGAAATATAGTTCTTCTAAAGCAGCAGNTCACACCCTCCTATCAAGGGTCATGTCCTCAGTAAGCTGAAGCAGCGCCATGTCCTGTCTAATTACCTCTCCCCAGTACTTCCTAGGCCTACCTCGACCTCTTCTCAAACTCGCCATGGCCAATCTCTCACACCTCCTAACAGGGGCATCAATGCTTTTTCTCTTAACATGTCCGAACCATCTCAGCCTCGACTCCTGCATCTTGTCCTCCACGGAGGCTACTCCCACTCTGTCTCGAATAACTTCATTCTTAATCTTATCTCTCCTGGTACGTCCACACATCCATCTCAACATCCTCATCTCTGCTACTTTCATTTTCTGGACGTGGGTGTTCTTGACTGGCCAACACTCAGCTCCATACAGCATAACCGGTCGAACCACCACTCTATAAAACTTGCCCTTAAGTCTTAGCGACATGTTCTTATCACATAAAACACCGGAAGCGAGCCTCCACTTCATCCATCCCGCTCCGATGCGATGTGCGACATCTTCGTCAATCTCCCCGTTACCTTGGATAATAGACCCGAGATACTTAAAACTCGCTCTCTTGGGGATAACTTGAGCATCAAGCTTTACCTCTACGTCTACTTCATGGGTCCCGTCACAGAATTTGCACTCCAAGTATTCTGTTTTGGTTCTACTCAATTTGAAACCTTTAGACTCCAAGGTCTGTCTCCAAACCTCCAACCTCGCGTTAACTCCGCTTCGCGTCTCGTCAATCAACACTATACTTTTTGCACTCCAAGGCCCTTCAATGTTTTAATGAATTAAAATCAATTAAACTCATGTAGCTTTTGGATCCATTATTTCCCATATGCGGATATTCCAATGAAATGATTTTGTGACCTGAACATTCTACTATTGCTTCCAGGTAGTGGGAACCATGTTTACGCACCATCAGAAGTGCGTACTGGTAGATACACAGGCTTCCGGTAATAATAGAAAAGTTACAGCATTCTTAGGAGGGCTTGATCTCTGCGATGGTCGATATGATACACCCGAACATCGCCTATTCCGTGATCTTGACACTGTATTTAAAGATGATTTTCATCAGCCTACATTTCCTGTGAGTAGTATTTGTTCCCATTTTTTCCTTGAATAATTCTTGTATGTGTCATATGCACTCTGTGATTATTCTTTACTCTATATAGTTGATAATTTCGCAGAACTTTGAAGTTGGTTAGGGATCATCACTCAGTCTGTAGATTCATAAAAAAATTGTCTTCTGCAAATGAACTCCGAACTCCCCTGTGGCCGGAAAAATAACAGACGAAGCTTTACTTAGATAGGTCTTTGATTGGTATTTTTTTTTCTTTCAGTTCAGGTGTTGAATCATTTGATTTGGAAAATTTTTGGACGGAGAAAGACTATAGGGCTAAGAGAAGCTCTCCTGTCAAGCCTTTGATTCGACTTTTGGCAATGCCATTTTGAAAGAAAGGGAACCTGTAAAATCTTCTTACAACCTTGTTTCTAAGAATTTAATGAATTCTACTGAGCTTTTACTTGAAGAGTTTGGAAAAACAGTGATTGCATTCAGCAGACATTGAAATGGACTTGTGGAATACTGCTTATAGAAATTGGTTGGTTGTGGTAAATGGCTAGTGTACTTGACATTGGTGGACGTTGTGGGCACTAACAGCAGATTTTTTTTTACTTAGAAAAAAAATAACAGCAGATTTATTATTGTGACCACGTCATCTGGAAAAAGGAGTTTTACGTTTATGTAAAGTATCTAAAATTCTTCTTCCGAACTAAAAAGTGTGAGCCATCTGTTAGTACTTAGGGAAACAATTTGTTGCTGGATATTTAGGAGCTATTATCACTCACGTGATTTGAATTGTAACGAGCAAAAGGCAGATCTATAGTTCACAGTGTTTCAGGCTCTAAAGCATATTGTAATTAGTTGGGGCTGAAAGCATATGGTTCTCCACTTACATAATTGCTGGGAATACCTTGTTCAGGAGGTTTATTAGCCGTTTAATAATGAAAGCTAAAATCTAGACTGTAACTTATGTCCCTGGATTTGAATATTAAAATTTCAAACATAAATATATATCTTGACATCCATAGTTGCCGTAGCTATTTTTCAGGAGTTTTATGAGCTGTTTGATAATGAAAAATTAAATCTGAAGACTGAAATTTACGTGCCTGCATTTTGAATATTCAAATATCAGATTGCTACTTTCTTCTTTCATTTTTGATTATTATGATTTATCTTAGATGCCTTTTTTTGTTGATAATTCGAAACATATTTGTTTATTGAGACTGTATTGATCATGTGCTCGTCATTAGCCTTAATTTAAATGAGTCTATTTCATCTCCAATACTCAATCTTTAATATGTAAATCTGCTAGCAAGGGAATTATTGAAAATAATTTTTCATAAACCATGAAATAAGAAATTTGCTAGCTCATTATCGATATGTTGGCAATTGATTTGCTGTACTTCAGTGTTATTTGACATAAAATATCTAGTATTTAATAGATATTAAGTAATGTTCTTTTAACACTAACAAGCACGTCTACCGTTTTTTAGTATGTTCAAGTTGAATAGGATTGTCTAAAAGTCGCTAAGTAACCTCAGGGCCATCAACTTCGGTCTCAACTGAACCAAGTTGAAACCCAAGCTCGTTACATGATTATTTCAGCACTTTGCATATTTACATGTGTCTTTTTCAGTGACACATTTCTTTCTTGTCATTTGTTCTTTTCTACATGGCTCTCAAAGTTGATTGTTCTTTTTTCTGTTTTGATATTTCTTTTTTGTTTTTGGTTGCATGAATTAGCCAGGGACCAAGGCTCCGAGGCAACCATGGCATGATTTGCATTGCAGAATTGATGGACCTGCTGTATATGATGTGCTTATAAACTTTGCTCAGCGATGGAGGAAAGCGACAAAATGGAGGGAATTCAAATTATTTAAGAAAACAATGTCCCGTTGGCATGATGATGCTATGATAAAAATTGAGCGTATCTCATGGATTCTCAGCCCTGCTTTTGCTGTTTTTAGGGAGGGTACTGAAATTCCAGGGGATGATCCCAAACTACATGTATATGGTGAAGATCACTCAGAAAATTGGCATGTACAGGTAGATACTTCTGTTCTTTGTACTCTGAATATCTTTCATGAATATGTTACATCCCTTTTGACTCTCATCGTCATTCTTATATTGCAGATCTTCCGCTCCATCGATTCTGGTTCAGTGCAGGGTTTTCCCAAGAGAATTGATGTCGCGCAGGCACAGGCAAGGAAATCATAGCCTTTTATCCTTTTTCCAAACTTTTGCTAAAGTAGCTGTAATGTGTAAGGAACTCTAGACAGAAAAACTTGTCTTACTTCCCATCGCAGTTCACATTTTCTTTGGCGTTATATCTTTTGCAGAATCTTGTCTGCTCAAAAAATCTGATAGTAGATAAAAGCATTGAAGCCGCATATATTCAGGCGATAAGATCTGCTCAGCATTTCGTATATATTGAAAATCAGTATTTTCTTGGATCGTCATACGCTTGGGGATCATACAAAGATGCAGGTCAAATTTTAATTTTCTTGCTATTGCTGAATTGCAATATGCAAGACTCCACTCTTTAACACCATATGAATGTTGGCTTGGCTTTATATTCTTGTCCACATGAAAAGTTGATGAACTGTTGCAACTTAATGCATTGAAACTCACTTGATAGTACCGTCAGAATCTAGTTTAGCACAAAAAGTTATTGTCTAAATGACCATCTTGCCACTTGGAATGCATCCTTATTTGTAAATATAAGGGAGTTGCTTGGAACTTGTAGGATTCCAAATTATATAGCTTCCTTGAAAAAATTTTGGTTTTGAGGTTGTGCAATCTCCTAAAGAAAAATAATGTAGCTTCCACATAGTTTTCCTAATAGGAGTATTTCTTTTTGAGATTTTCTCATTTCTGCACATTCTTGGAGTTGTTACATTGCTTCCTGATTTCATTTGTTGTCCACTTGATCAGGAGCTGATCATCTGATACCAATGGAATTGGCACTTAAAATCACTAGTAAAATTAGAGCCGGGGAACGGTTTTGTGTATATGTTGTCATGCCCATGTGGCCCGAAGGCGATCCTAAGTCAATCACTATGCAGGAAATTCTCTTCTGGCAGGTAATTTTTTCATGCAACTTTTTGATTTTGTCTGTTGGATTTTATAAAGGAAAGTAGATAGTTTTAAGTAGGCAATGATTAGGTGATACTGGCCTCAATTATGCAACCACATCAAGGATACTTTCAGAATAGGGATGCCAGCTGTCTAGAAGGGTTAATCCATCCAAAAATCAGAATGTATAGTTATAGGGTGTGCATTAGCATAAATAGTAGCTACATTTTTCTAATATCTATGATCATGCCTATCCAAAAAAAGAAATTCCTTTGTTTTAGTGTTTGAAAGAGCAGATATTCTTATCTTTTAGGATAGTATATTTCTTTCCTTAGACATGGAGGGACAATTGAGGAAAATGACATCGAGAAAGGATGTTCATGGCATTATGGTATGTCTGAGGACCTGACAGAATGAGTGAGGGAAGAATTTGATAAAGGATGTGCGACTTTCCATGACATGTTTTCTTCACGCCTCCCATTGTCAGTGATTTCGAAGGAACTCGTGATCTGGAAAAAGTGTACAAGAACAGAAAGAAACAAACTTTTTAAGATTTTTGTTTGCTTTCAACAGAGCCAGACAGTACAGATGATGTATCAAGTTATTGCAACAGAGCTCAAGTCGATGCAGCTCTTGGACTCACATCCTCTAGACTATTTAAATTTCTACTGCCTTGGTAACCGTGAAGAGATTCCAAGCTCTATCTCTCAATCTTCTGGTAATGGTGATAAGGTAATGTCTTAAGGAATTTTCTTCTTTACATTATATTGTAATGTACAGACACAAAATACACATGAGAGCAACTGAACTAAAGGCTGCCTTTAACATTGATGAATATGGGTTCTAGAGTCTTAAAAAATAGCTATTTGACTTTCTGACATTTTTGAATCTATCGTTTGAACTTTTATGGGTATCAAATTTCCTAAACTTTGTTTCTTTCACGTTTCCTCGAAATCTATCTTGGTCTGTCATGCGCTTAAACCAAATTCATCAATTATCATATCCATTTCACACTTTCTATAGGTTTTGATGTTCCATCCTGAAAATCTATTTTTGTGTCGCTAAACAGTATAAATTAACATGCTTAAGATTCTAGCTAGACCTGGTTCTTGTGAACTTTTCACCCGATGTATCTATATGCATACTACTTTATTAGTAGTACTAGAATAAAAAATCCAGCATTATTATGCATTCCTCCTGATTGTTGAATTACGGCATTATGCTACATAATGTCTTGCATTATAGGAAGATCTTTCCGAATGGACTCAAATGCCTTGCATCTGTGTATTCCAGACATAATTTTATACTCATCGGTAAATAATTTATTTAATAGCTTTGATTACAATAGTTGTAGCATGCTCTATTATGGATTACTAGACCATTTATGAGCGAGTAAAACTGACTGATAATAGAGCATGCTACAACTATTGTAATCAAAGCTATTAAATAAATTATTTACCGATGAGTATAAAATTATGTCTGGAATACATAATTTTCAGTATTCACGAATAGAATAGAATACTATTTCAGTATTCACGAATAGAATAGAGTTGCTTTAGACACAGACCGCAAAGGCGCAAACCCGAACCTAATAACTGTACCCATGAAGAAATGCCGGTAACCAAAGCCTTACTCTGACTATGCCGTGAGGCTGACTGAATCCAATCATAAACCCGGTAACGAAACGAATTTCACTTTCATCAAGTCGGTAAAGTAGGCATATGAATCATTTTGACTTGAGACTCTCGTTTCAGTGTAGGAAACTTATCGAAGTGCCATATGTTGTGGTAATCGTGTGCCCTGGTGAATTCAAAGTACTCTATTTTTAGAAAAGATAATAAAAAGAACTTTCAAAAATAAAATCAATTGTATTATTCAGATTCAAAATGCTACTTGAAAACTGGTATCTTAAACTTAGCTCTGTATCCATGTGTTGTGGTCTTTTGATGCTTGTTTCTATTTCCTTGAATGTGTGAAATGCTTTTCACTTTTTATGTTTGCTTGTTTTCGTTTTATTTTGCTCATCTGGATCTTATCAAGCTTGATAAATCTTTTGAGAAGTTATCTTAACTTTGACATGCAACCAGGTCTCAGACTCATATAAGTTTCAGCGATTCATGATATATGTTCATGCCAAAGGAATGATAGTTGACGATGAATATGTTATCGTGGGCTCTGCCAACATAAATCAACGTTCTTTAGCTGGGTCAAAGGACACAGAGATTGCTATGGGTTCCTACCAGCCTCATCACACTTGGGCTGGAAATCAAAGGCATCCACGGGGACAGGTTAAAAAGAAAAGCATCTACTTTGTTTCATAAAATTAATCTTGATGTTGTTGACCAAAGCAGAATCAGCACATTTATTTACTTATCTTGTCTTGGTCTCCAGATCTATGGATACAGAATGTCCCTGTGGGCAGAGCACCTTGGAAGAATAGAAGAATGTTTTGAGGAACCAGAGGCGTTAACATGCGTGAGGAGGGTGAATGAGGTTGCTGAAGATAACTGGAAGAGATTCGCAGCTGAAACTTTTACTCCATTGCAAGGACATCTACTGAAGTATCCCATGCAAGTGGATGCGGATGGGAAAGTAGGTCCATTGCCTGGATATGAATGTTTCCCAGATGTTGGGGGTAAAATACTGGGGAATCATGCCCCTACTATCCCAGATGTTTTGACAACATAATCTCAAGAATTAACATGATTGTGAGTCTCTTGGCACTGTAAAGATATATAGTTGCGAGATGTTAGATTGTTATTGTTTGTACATTTTTCTATGTTGTACAATACAGGTTGGAAAACCGGTGGAAATGATTTGATGCGTGTGAAATATTTCTGGATATTTGATTGTTGATTTGTATTTGTGCTGAATTGAATAAAAGAGTAGCTGCAGTCTTTGATGTAATATCTGTGGATCTGATGGAACAATTAGTCTAGTCGAATGGGAGGGAATCTGTGGATTTACTCCCCCCCTCCCCCAGTGTCTACTCCTGTTCAACAAGAACTGATAAGCGATCAACCGGAGATCACCTAGGCGATCATAAATAATACATGGACGATTTTTAAATAACGCATAAGCAATTTGTGATTTTAACAGGATCTCTTATTTTTTCCTTTTACTGGAAATTGTTGCTCTGATTGTTACTATCTGATGCTACCTTTTCTCCTCTTTTGTCTTTTGTCTCCCTCGTCTTTCTTTCTCCCCCTCTTTCTTCTTCTTCTTCTTCTTCCTTAACACATTATCTTGAGCCGAGGGTCTATCGGAAATTGCCTCTCTACCTTTCCAGGTAGGGATAAGGTTTGCATATATATTATCCTCCCCAGACCCCACTTGTGGGATTATACTGGATATATTGTTGTTGTTGTAACACGATCTCTTATTTTATATATGTTAAAAAGTCCTGGTAATAACTAATGAGATCAATTAGGCGATTATAAATAATCAGATAGGAGTTTCTCCTAAAATAATTCTGGTAATAATTAATAAGTGATCAACCAAATATCAGTAAGACGATCATAAATAATACTCCATCCGTTTTAATTTATATGAACCCATTTGACTGGGCACGTAATTTAAGAAAAGAGAGAAGACTTTTAAACTTGTGGTGTAAAATGAGGTACATATATTTTGTGTGGCTATAAATCATTGCATAAAGGTAAATTGTTTCTAAATAAAGAAAGGGGTCATTCTTTTTGGCACGGACTAAAAAGAAAATAAGTTCACATAAATTAAAACGGAGGGAGTATATAGGCGATTTTTGGATAATACATAGGCAATCTATGATTTTATCAGGATCTCTCACTTTATAAAAAAGAATTCTGGTAATAACTAATAAGCGATCAACTGAAGATCACTTAGGCGATCACAAAATACATAAGTAATTTATAGATAACACATGTGATCTATGATTTCATCGGGGTCTCTCATTTTATAAAAAAAATGATCCTGATAATAGTTAATAAGCGATCAGGCGTATATCGGTTAGGCGATCATAAATAATATATGAGCAATTTCTCCCACTTTATAAAAAAAATAATCCTAGTAATAACTAATAAGTGATAAACCGGAGATCACTTAAGCGATCATAAATAATGCATGTGCAATTTCTAGATAACACATTGACGATCTATCATTTCATTAGGATCTCCCAATTTATAAAACGATCATGATAATGACTAATAAGCGATCAGTCGGAGATCATTTAGCCGATCATAAGTAATACAGGGGCGATCATAGATAAATCACATGCAATTTATGATTTTACAAGTATCTCTCATTGTAAAAAAATTATGGTAATAACTAAGAAGCGATCAATCGGAGATTACTTAGGCGATCATAAATAATACATAGACGATTTTCAGATAACATATAGGCGATCTATGAGTTTGCCAAGATCTCCTACTTTATAAAAATAATACTGGTAATAACTAATAAGCGATCAATGAGAGATCACTTAGGCGATCATAGATAATACACATGCGATTTCTTGATAATTTATAGACGGTTCGTGATTTTACCAAGATCTCCCACTTTATAAAAAAGTGATACTGGTAATAATAATAAGCGATCAACCGGAGATCACTTATGCAGTCATGAATAATAAATGAGCGATTTCTGGCTAACGTGTAAGTGATCTATGATTTCACAAGAATCTCCTACTTTATATAGAAATGATCCTAGTAATAATTAATAAGCGATTAATTGAACATCACTTAGGTGATCCACTATACCAGATTTCAGAAAGAGAGTTTTACCTATATGTACTACATTAGAAACTTATTTACCCTCACTGTTTAGGTTTTAACTTAATTACAAGTTGATATACAATTTACCAATTATATATATTTTATTGATAAATTAATATCCCTCAATTATAGGTCTTTAATTGGTAACCAATCCTAAGCCTTCAGGTTTCTACCCACCCCCATTGTACGTCTCTCACAATACACTGTATCCCAACTCCCCACCCCCACGTAACCAATTACCCAAAATATATAGAACAACAAGTTTCGATCTTAAAAAGTCATGAATGAAGAGAAGACATGAAAATCCTAGTAACAAAAAATAACTAAGAACATAGTTGGCATAATTTTATTACTCTCCCATCGATAAAAATAGTCCAAAATTTTGCATTATATTGATTAATGAAGAGATTAAACCATTGGCACATGCATTGGGCGTGACACATATATTGATTAAACTGAGCATAAAGATTTTTATGCATCGATTAAACTAAGCATAAAGATTTGTGTTACGACCCCAAATTCACCCTCCGTAGAATATCGTGATGACATCTAGTCGCTAAGACTAGGTAAGCCTAATAATTTTTGCAGAAATACATAAAATAAATTTGAAGCCAAATTCTCAACATATGAAATAAATATAAAACTGCATTCCAATAATTTCGACTCCCCAAACCCGGTAGAAATAAGTCACAAGCTTCTAAGAATTTATTCCGAGTGTCTCAATACATCAGAGTCTAAAGAGAAATTAGGAAGATAACATAATAAAGATAGAGGGGGACTCCGAGGTCTGCGGACGCTGGCAGATGTACCTTGAAGTCTCCGTGTACAGCTAGTTCACTGATACCTGGTCTGATAGGAAGTACTGGATCTGCACAAAAAGATGTGCAGAAGCGTAGTATGAGTACACCACAACGATACCCAGTAAGTGCCAAGCCTAACCTCGATAGAGTAGTGACGAGGTCAGGTCAGACCATACTGGAAATAATAATAAATAAGGCAGAAATTTATAATAGGGTAATGAAGTGACTCAGAAATAAACGAAATTTATAGAAAGATAACAAAACAACAATTAGAGGTAAACAACATTGGGCTCCCGAGGTACCACTTCGTAGTCCCAAAATTACATCTGCAATACAGGGAGATCTCCCGAGGAACCACCTTGTAGTCCTAAAAGTAAATATGCAGTACATGGGAATCTCCCGAGAAATCGCCTCGTAATCCCAAAGTAAATATGCAACAGATATCCGAAGGAAACAACGAATTTACAACAAGAATCTCACTGTTAAAGATTTAAATCAAATAAAGGAAGCAGGTAATTCAGCTAAGCATGTTGCACATATGGCAAGTAAGAGTTAAGGCACGTAGACATGTGATACTAGGCTAAACATAATCATTACATATACTAAAGCAACTCAGTTAAAAAATTTAAAAGAAGAATACTCAACAAGAACCAATATTTCCAAATTTAGCCCGTGTACGCACTCGTCACCTCGCATACATGGCGCTCACATATCACAAAATGTTACAATTATATCAAATCCTAAGGGGATTTTTCCCACACAGGGTTAGACAAGCCACTTACCTCAAGCCAAGCTCAATCAGTTAATAAGAATGCCTTTCCCTCGATTTTCTGACTCCGATCGGCTCGAATCTAGTCACAATTAATTCGATTTAGTCAACACAAATTATAGAAATTAATTTCATATGAAAATATATATTTTTTTTTAAAAAAACAAAATTTAACTCAAAATTTGCCCGTGGGGCACACGTCTCGGAAACTGAAAAAAGTTACAAAATATGAACGCCCATTCAACCACGAGTTCAACCATACAAATTTTACCAAATTCTGACATCATCTCGACCCTCAAATCTTCAATTTAAACCAAGAGGGTTTTCTAAATCTTCCAACTTAATTTACCAATTAAATATTAAAAACAACCATGGATTCAGGTAATTTGACAAAAATTGAGTTAAGAACACTAACCCCGTTATTTTCCTTGAAAATCTCCCAAAAATCGCTTCTTCCCGAGCTCCAAATCGTTAAAAATGGATTTCAGAACTTAAACATTCTTTCCAGACCTTTCTTCTTCGCGAACGCGATATGTCCCTCGCGTTCGCGAAGCACAATTTTTCTTCTTCGCGAATGCGATGCTTCAGCGGGTTGCTCAATCGTGAACGCGTCCTCTCCATCGCGAACGCGAAGACCAATTTTCCCCAGGCCGACTTTCCCCTTCGCGAACGTGAGGCCTCAATCGCGAAAGCGTAGCTTTGCCCCCGAACCTCTGCGAACGCGTGCCCTCGGTCACGAACGAGAAACACAAAATGGGCCAGTCCAAATTTTCCCTTCGCGTTCGCGAAGAACAACATCAGTACCAGCAAATCAACAGCAATAACCGAGCCAAACTTGGTCCGAAACCACCCTGATACACACCCGAGGCCCCCAGGACCTCAACCAAATATACCAACAAGTTCTAAAACATCATACGAACTTAGTCGAAGCCTCAAATCACATCAAATAACGCTAAAAACACGAATCATGCCTCAATTCAAGCCTAATGAAACTAACAAATTCTAACTTCTACATTCGATGCCGAAACCTATCAAATCAAGTCCAATTGACCTCAAATTTTGCACACAAGTCATAAATGACATAACAGACCTATTCAAAATTTCAGAATTGGATTTTGACCCCGATATCAAAAAGTCAACTCCCCGGTCAAACTTCCAAGCTTAAATTTCTATTTTAGCCATTTCAAGCCTAATTTAACTACGGACTTCCAAATAATTTTTTGGACACGCTCCTATGTACAAAATTACTATACGGAGCTATTTGAATCATCAAAACTTTATTCCGGGATCGTTTACATATAAGTCAACATCCGGTCAATAACTTTCAACTTAGGTTTTCATCCTTGAGACTAAGTGTCTCAATTCATTCCGAAACTCATCGGAACCGAACTAACTATAATGACAAGTCATATAATAGCTATAAATTACAAAATAATCAGTAAATGGGGGAATTGGGCTGTAATACTCAAAATGGCCATCTGGGTCGTTATATTTTTCCCATCTTAAACAAACGTTCGTCCTCGAACTGGTTTAGAATTATACCTGGAGTGGTGAAAAGATGAGGATAACAGCTGCGCATATCATGCTCGG